GAGCTGCACATCCCCATCCCAGATGAGCAGGGGCAGCTGCAGACCTTGGGCTCAAGGGGACAGAAAGGGCAGGGCCATAGGGCGCGCGTATCCCACCATCCAGCAGGGAGAGTAGAGACTTTTAATTGGCTCCTACGATGTGGGGAAGTTTTTTATCGCTTCCCCATTGCTCTGTTTCACTGTGACACTAGTACTGCTGCTGCTGTCCCAGCTACCACAGTAATAGACAGCCTCGTCCTCGGCTTGGACCCCAGTGATGGTTAACGTGCCCGTGGTACCAGACTGGGATCCGGAGAATCGCGAAGGGATGTCCGAGGGTCTCTTGTCATTGCTATAGATCACAGTGACAGGGACACTGCCAGGTGCCTTTTGCTGGTACCAGCCATAGTAGTTGTTGCTACTCCCAGTGCAGGTGATCTTGACGGTGTCTCCTGGGTTCGCTGAAAACGAGGACGGCTGCTGAGTCAGTGCTGCCTGGACCAGGGAACCTGGAGAGGAAGAGGAGAGAGGGGAGAGGATGGGGGTCAGCCAGTGCCCCATCAGCACAGCCCCACCCAGGGAAAGCCACAGTCAGAGCTGATCAAGTCTGGACACAGTCACAGGCATATTCGGGGGAGCAGAGCCCAGTCCAACATATTGCAGCACACAGGCAGCTCTGGCAGCAGCAGGAGGACATGGTCATCAGCAGCAAGAGGCACTGGGGTGGCTGATAAGGTCACATGGTCAAATTTGTAGGGACCCAGACTATTGTCCGCAGCCACAAAGTCACCTCCATTGTTCTGGGACGCAAAAGGCAGGTCATTCATAGGCATGGTCGTGCAGAGGGCACAGAAACCTGCCCAGATTGACATCCATAACTCAGATTGGCCACGCTGGAGAAGAGCTGAAACCATACATCTGATTTTGGAGCCCATGTCTCACTACCCATTACTCACTGGAGCAGGACACCATAGCCACTGCTGCTGCCTTCCCAGCCAACACAGTAATAGACAGCCTCGTCCTCGGCTTGGACCCCCGTGATGGTTAAACTGGGCGGGGTGCCAGACTGGGATCCGGAGAATCTTGAAGGGATGTCCGAGGGCCTGTTGCTGTTA